GAACAGGATGGCTTGGTGCCGGAAGGAGCGGTTGTGGCTTATGACCCGATCGTACAGTACTATGCTGGCGTCCCGGAAGGGAGGAAGCCAAGACAAGTACTTCTTTCTGCTGAGGACCAAGTAATAGGAAAAGAGTCGGCTGCACTCAGGGTGGTATACCCTTTGATTCAGGGCCAGGGCCAGGAAGAAAGCATATTGGATGGAGGGTCACAAATAGTCTCGATGGCCTTGGCCACGGCCATTAAGCTTGGTTTGACTTGGGACCCGGACGTCAATATATTTATGCAGAGCGCCAATGGACAAGTAGAAAAGACAGTCGGACTAGCGCGGAATGTGGCATTCCGTTTCGGTCAGATTACCATCTATCTGCAGGTCCACATTATCAAGGCGCCGGCCTATAAAGTCCTGTTGGGTAGACCATTCGAAATCTTGACGGCGAGTGAAGTGCGCAACCAGGCTGACGGGGGACAAGTGATAACTTTGACCGATCCCGTCTCGCGCCAGAGATGCACAATCCCGACTTTGGAAAGAGGCCGAGTGCGCCAAATTCTGAACAAGAGGGACACTTCCACCGAGATCCCTGAGGAAGAAGTTGAAAAAGAAGCAAATTTTCAAGGGAACTCAAGGAATTGATAAAGGATCAACGAGAGTTTGCCGCGATAGTTGAAATAGATAAAGATGGGCAAGGATGGATAAGAACCACCCAGCATGCCATAGAAAAGGATGGAATATTTGAAAAGGAACACTTGGCGGCGCTGTATACCGAACAGAGTCTGCCAGATCTAACGAAGGAAGACCCAGAAGCTGTACTGCTGTTCAAGGAATTCATGAACATGACCAGCGCACGCAAGGATAGTGCTGGCGCGTACATGGTTTCCTTGCCGGAAATTGTGATACCTGGCGCCAAGGAATCCGAACGACCAAGGCCGCCGAAGTATAACAAAAGTCGGTGCCAGCACACCAAAGAAGGACGCTGTGGGTGTTGTGACTACGCGGACTGGGTATTCCCTGCGGAAGACCCTTTCTGGAGTCAAGCGCCAACGGAACATTCTGGCGCGCCAGTATCAGTCTTCGCGGGAAAGAAGTATAAACCTGTCGCAGATAAAATAAGACCGGCGTTTCAGGAGTTACCAGAAGAATACAGGATAATACGGAATATAACCGGCGATCCTTTGAAGGATCTGCCTACCTTACCAGTTAGACCGCCGGACTTCGTGCCAACTGGTAGGTACACTGAAGAAAGGAAAGAAATAGTTGATAAGCTTCACGATGAGGATTTCTCTGGCCTTGGGAGAGGAAGCTATTACACTATTTCATGATGTTACATGAAAAGAACTTTGCCTGGAACGACGCCGAGAGGGGCACGTTCAAGGAGGAATATTTCCCTCCAGTTAAGTTCCCAGTGTTGAAGGATCACAAGGTGTGGGTGGAAAGAAATATTCCTATCCCGCCAGGACAACTGGAGGAGGTCTGTAAAGTGTTAAGGGCGAGCATAGATGCTAATATCTATGAGCCATCTAATGGCGCGTACCGGACCAAGTATTTCAGCGTTCTAAAAAGCGATGGAAAATCCTTGCGCCTGGTACACTCGCTGGAGCCTTTGAATGCCGCTACTATAGCACATTCCGGACTACCCCCTGGCGCGGAGGAACTGGCAGGACATTTTGCAGGCAGGGCTTGCGGAGGTTGCTTGGACTTGTACTCTGGTTACAACCACAGGACAATAGATGAAGCCTCTAGGGACTATACTACGTTTCAGACACCGTTTGGCGCGCTGAGACTAGTCAAACTCCCGCAGGGATGGACCAATTCAGTTCCGATATTTCATGACGATGTAACCTACATCTTGAAGGATGAAGTACCCCATGTAACCAGGCCGTATATTGATGATGTACCAATCCGCGGGCCAGGAACTAGATATGAAAAGGATGATGGAACGTTTGAGACCATTGAAGGGAATGATGGAATCAGGCGCTTTGTATGGGAGCACTTTCAGAATCTCAACCGGGTAGTGACAAGGATGGGATATGCTGGCGGCACTTTCTCGGGCAAGAAAGCTGTATTGTGTCGGAGCGACCCTGTAATTGTTGGGCACATCTGTACCTACGAAGGGATGAAGCCCTCGGAGGACCGGATTGGAGTCATCCTGAGATGGGGAGATTGCGCGACCTATACAGATGTAAAATCCTTCTTGGGTACGGTTGGCGTGATGAGGATGTTTATAAAGGACTTCACAGTCTTAACGGAACCTATAAACCGCCTGACCAAGAAAGGAATTGAGTGGGAATGGGGAGAAAGGCAGAAACTATGTATGGCAGCAATAAAAGTTGCTGTCGCCAACTGCCCATGTCTGAAGCCCTTAAATTATGAATGGGATTCGGAGATCTTCCTAGCGGTTGATACTTCTTGGATGGCCGTAGGGATCCAAATTTATCAAATAGACCCCAAGGATAAGACCAAGAAGTACTTTGCTAAATTTGCATCACTACCTCTGAACGAGCGCGAGGCAAGGTACTCCCAACCTAAGCGCGAGCTATTTGGTATAAAGCGGGCGCTGGAAGCTATGAAATATTGGCTACTAGGCTGTCGAAAATTAGTGGTGGAAACTGACACCAAGTATATTAAAGGAATGCTGGATAACCCGGGCATGGGTCCCAACGCGACTATTAATCGCTGGATTGAGGATATACTGATGTATCACTTCAAACTGAAGCATGTCATGGGGAAGACCTTTGGCCCCGACGGTTTGTCCAGGAGACTCAAACAACCAGGAGACAAAGTCTTCCCGGACTCGGAGGTGGACTTTGACAATAACCTGCCGCCAGAGATTCACGAAGAAAGTCTCTTGGCGCCAGCTCCTCTCGAGTTCGAGGACTTTAAGGAAGAAATAGATACCAGGGGAGGTTACCTGCTATCTATGACCGGAAATGAGGCGACAGATGTCACGGACTTGCAGCAAGAATTGCTACAAGCTCGGATGGATCAGACTGCCCAGGAGCGGGAAGTATTGGCGCCGCTTCAACAGTTTGTGAATGGGCTGTCTGTAGAGGAAGAGTGCCAATTAAAAGGAGAACTCAACAGTTGCGGATGTTCTGGCGCGAGGCCGCGATGTGGCCCCGGGTTACACACTACGGATAGTAGGGTGGCGCCAGTAACTCAACTCTTTGTTGAACAATTGGTACAGACAAAGAAGAAAAACAAGGGGCGCTCGCGGATAGTTAAAATCGATGGGGAGCCCTTGTTACCAAAACCAGATGAAGAATTGGCGCCAGGCCAAAAAGAAGAATATGACGAAGGCCACAGGTCAGAAGCTGGCATCAATGCCGACGAGCGCCTGGAATTGGTCAGGGTCTGGCTTAAAGATACCTTGGTCAGACCAGAAGGCATGTCTAACTCAAAGTATAAGAGCTTCATGCGCTTCGCGACCATGTTCTTTATAGATAAGAAGGGAAGAATGTATAAGAAGGGTAGCAGTGGGGAACATAAGCTGGTAGTCGCCAAGGAGCAACGAATGTACATGCTTCGCGCCTCGCACGATAGTCTTGGCCATCGGGGTTTCTACGCAACGAAGTCGCTGATAGAACTGAGGTTTTGGTGGCCCGAGTACGAAAGAGACGTCAGCCACTTTATTAAAACTTGTTTGTTGTGTCAGTTGCGCCAGAAGACTTGCTCCAGATACCACCGGTAGTTACCCATACCCCGTCACTGTTCCAACAAGTACATGTCGACGTAATGGTTATGGGTACTCCCTCGAATGGATATAACAAAGTAGTCGATGCTCGAGACTCCTTGAGTCGCTGGCTTGAGGGCAGGCCAATAAAGAACGAGAATGCTCGAACATTAGGACTATTTTTGTTAGAAGAAATCATTTGTAGATGGGGCTGCCCTGAGGTGTTCGTAACGGATAACGCGCCACAATTCTTAGCAGCGGTAGCCTGGCTACGAAGTAAATATGGAATACATGGGATAAGGGTGTCGTCATACAATTCTCAAGGAAACGGGTCAGTGGAAAACGGGCACTGGCCGATGCGCCAGTCTCTGTACAAAGCTACCGGGGGCAACCCGAGCAAATGGTACTGGTTCTTCCCTCAGGTCCTCTGGGCGGACAGGATCACGATCCGGCGCGGACTGGGGTGTTCGCCGTACTTTCTAGTTACTGGCGCGCACCCACTGCTTCCTCTTGATATAGAAGAAGCAACCTGGTTAGTGGAGTTGCCCGGGCGCGTGCTCACTACTGAAGAATTAATCGGATTTCGGGCGCAAGCTCTGGCTAAACACCGGACCCATGTAGAAAAGATGCGAGAATGGGTAACAGAAGAAAAGAGGGCGGCTGTCAGGAGATACGAACGAGTCAATGAGCATACAATTAAGGATTATTCCTTCACGCCAGGAGACTTGGTTCTGATCCGGAACACCGTAGTGGAAAAATCCTTGAATACTAAGATGGCGCCAAGGTATCTGGGCCCCATGATAGTAATTCGACAGGACCCTTGGCGGAAGCTACGTGGTCGCTGAGATGGATGGCTCGGTATTCCAGTCAAAAATAGCTCAGTTCCGAGTAGTCCCGTACGAGGCCAGGAAAAGCATAGCACTGCCTGAAAACATACATAATCTGATAGATCTGTCAAAAGAAACCTTGGATATGTTAGTTGATGACGGCGAGGTTGAAAAATACAAAGGGAAGGACTTCCAATTCGACACCGTGCGCCTTGGAGTGGAGGATAATTATCTTGAACCCAGGCCAGAAGATGAAGAGGAAGAAGGAGACGCGCTCTTCGAGACCTGGCAGGAGCCTGGACCTAAGGTTCATCAGACCAGGTCAGTTAAAAAGGTCGGGCGTGAATTGAAGGTACAACAAGAGCAAGAATTAGAGAAGGCCTGGGATACCTGGCAGAGAAGGAAAAAGATGGCGACTGATGAGACGCTACGTTAAGACCTTGGCGCACACTCTGCTTTACAAGTCCCAAAAAGGGGATTAAAAAGAAGCGTTCGGAGTCGAATGGACTAGCCTTGATTCGAACAAGGGTGCCCCGGGGGGAGCTTCCTGTGATCTATTCTATGTCAGGTGACCCAGGTGCAGTAACCGCTCTGCCACTAGTCCGCTCTACGGGAAAGGCACCTACTATATATATGGACGCGACGAGATGTTTGGCGCGCACCTCATCAGGGGGCAAGACAAAAAAAAAAAAGAGAAGAAACTTAAAGAGAGATGGATCAGCCCCGAGTCGAACGGGGAACCCCTGGGAAGGTGTTACATTACATATCTCAGGCAGCATTAACCGTTATGCTACTGGTCCGGTAAAGGTGTACAACCGGAAGCCGTACACCTCGGGTTGGATAAGCGCTGAGGCTGTCTAAATAAGCGCCTTGGATCATGGGAGAGACGGCCAGAGAGGAAAAATAGTTAAAAAGAATCTGCCGTCGGCACGGTCTGACCCTGAGTCGAACAGGGAATAGCCAAGGGAGCGTTTATTGGCACCGAATCAAACCTTGGCGCAGTAACCACTCTGCAATCAGACCAGTGTTAGGGGTGCTCAAATAATAATAAAAAATTGAAGTACCAAGAGAAAAGAAGGAAGGACCCTCGCGGCGCCGGGAAAATTAGGAGATCCTGGTGCACGAAAATGTGCTCGCGAAAGATGGGAAAGCAACGCAATAATTGGCTTCGGAGGCGTTGCTACTCTACATACATGAGAACGAAGCCAATGTAAAGGAATTTAAGGAGACTAGGCGCTATAGTTGCCATCGTTGGTGCTGGGCGCCAGCTCGTTGAGACGAGCAGTAAGGTCGGCTGCGTCCTCGATGTGCTCGGCGCGGATGGCAAGCTCAGAACGAATCTTCTCGTTGATAACGGCCACCTCGATCATAAGCTGATAGAGGCGCTTCTTGATAGCAGGCACGGTAGAGTGCAGGTCTGAGGGCTGCGACATGATATGCCTGGCTTCTTCAACAATGAAGTTGGCGGTCGGTCCAGCGGTCAAATTCTTGATAGCTAAAGCGGCCGGTTAGTTGGCGCGAGCAATTGAAGAAAGTTGGCGCGAGAATACGTACCTTCAGCAATGAACGCGTTCTCATCAAACTCTTCGCGGCGCCGCTTCCTGTCCGACTTCTTGGATTTCGAGATAGTGGCCTTGGGGCAAACGACGGGTAAGGATGAGCGGAAGAAAGTGAAAAAGATGAATGAAACGCACCGACGGTGCAAGCTGGAAGGCGCACTGAATTGAGTCATGCGGCAGGCAAGAGTGTGGCGCGGCTACCTTGATCTTCTTAAAGTTGGGAAGGCTAGGTTGCGCCTTGGCGTCGTCGTCAACTTGCATCTGACCGAAGCCGTGGCTCAGAGAAGAAATGATCATTTTGAGGGAAATTACTGGTTTACCTGGTCAGTACTGGTGCTGGCGATTACAGAGGGATCGGTACCAGGCGTGTCCGCGGCGCCAGCCCCCTCATCGTCACTGTCGGCGACGAGGACCTTGGACTTCGGAGCCTTCTGGGACAAAGTAAACAGGAAGTGAGAAAGTATGCTGGCGCCGGAATATAAGGAAAAGCGGACCTTCTTGGCAGCCGCAGCCTTGCGCGCCAAGCGCTCCTCTTGGATGTAGTGCGTAAGCTGGCGCACCCCATCGTAACTAGGAGGATAGGCCGCTTTCTTCCCATCAACGGCGTACAGTTCATGATAGAACCCGCGAATGGTGAAGATCCCTTCGCGGAGCTCTTCCATATCAACGTAGTCGCGGTTGAGAAGCTGGGACACATATCCCAGAAGATTAATCTGGCGCGAGGTGAATGAGCAACATAAACAGGGATTGAGATAAGCGGAAGTACTCGCCGCAGCATGTCCTGCATCCTCCAGTTGTTTCTTGCGAGCCTCAACTGGCGCCTTGTACTCGTGAAGAGTTTTGGCGGTAGAAAGGTGCTTGAGAAACGTGTCCCGAAAGGATATAAACTCGATGGGGAGAATGGCTGGAGTAGTCATGATGAACGAACTGGTGGAAGGCGATAACTCGCCCAGCTTATATAGGATTATCGGATGGGCCCTTGCGAAGTAATGCTTACGAGTTAACCGAGGACGGTTAAGATTTCAGAATGGGGGAGAGGGAGCTTGGCGCGGACACGCGAACATAAGCGGAGACAAGCGAACTCATGAAGAAACCCATTACGAAGTCGAGCTCATGAGCGGCGCCAGATGGAAAATTCTAGCGTCGGCTAAGCAATACAGAGTAAAAGGTATGACCAAGGTAAAGGAATAGAAGGAAGTTAAGCGACCGAAGCCCGCGCCAGGACACACAAGTCCTCCGTAATGATCTCGGTTAAGAAGGAGGCAGTGTCGGCTAAATATGCCTGGCGCGCGCAAGGGAAATGGATTGCCGAAGCCTCGAAGCTGATACGCGGATTGATCCAGGATAATGGTAACCAAGGTTAAATTATTCAGGAGGTATTCAGGGTCTACGCGCGCCATCTTTGGACGCTACAGAAGGGATCCGTACTTCTAAGATACCTGGGAACTACGAGACTGGATAACGGCGGCAAGGACGTAGTAATTCTGGTGCATGCCAGAAGAATGAAGAAAGGTAGCTAAATCCTTGAGCTCGCCATCGGTATAAGGACGAAGCGCACGGCGGGCGTGAGCAAGAGAAAGGCTATGGAAGGGCGGAGTCTCCACAGTAAAGTAACGAGGAATGACAGTCTCGTTCAAAAGGATCAAGTGGGCAAGATCGGCGACAGTAGCTATTAACAGGTTGCTGGGTCAGTCCGCGACGAATAAAAAGGGAGACTTTTGCTGGCGCACCAGGATGGGTGGTCGACAAAATAGTCAGAGTAAGCAGCTCATGAAAGAGGATGTCCCAAGTGGATTGTTGAGCGAAACAGCAGTCGTCCCGACCAATAAGCCAGCATCTGACACACGGGCACGAGTGTGTAACGGAGTGACAGATGTGCTCCCCGTCCTTGCATATCGCACAACTCTCGAATGGCTAGAAGACAGAAAAAAAAAGGATGCGTGACTTGGCGCGAGGTAGAAAGGGGTTGACCACGCACCATGAACATTGTGAGCAGGCGCCAACCCTGGAGATCGAGAGAGGCGGGACTGCCGTCTTGACTAGCGGAAAGATGGTGAATGGAGACGCCCCCAGGGTACTGGTCGACGGCGGCCTGATTAATCTCGCGAAACAACTGAAGAGTGGCAGGCGTAAAGAGGGTATGCAGTGGCGTATCAGGAGGGAACCTTAAGAGACCCTGAATCTCGTTAGGAAGGATGAGGTTTGGCAAGGAAGGCATGGCGGATGAGTAAAAGCGGCCCACCGCGCGCCAAGTAGTGTCTCTTATAGAGGAGAATATTGAAGCGGGCGCGACATATGGGGAATAAGTTCCGCGGAACCGGGACACTGGCGCCGCGTGGACGTTGCGCGAGGCTGATGACAAAAGTACGCGGTCCCTGGCGCCTGATACGGCAGTAATGATTAACGGATAAGAAAAGATCCCGTGGACACAGATGAAATTGCAAATTCTGGTCTGTCTACGGAGATTGGAAATTAACTAGACACGGGTACGGCGCCTGGAATAGTGTCTACGGAAAGGAAGGTTCTGCAAGGCGAAAATACGGTCCTCTACAAGGCGCGTCATGAACCGGCGCCGGAGTGAAACGTAGTGCTCGCGCAGGGTGTACAAGTACGAGAGGTCGGAAATGCTATTTAAATGGCGCCGCTCCTCGCGAACCCAACCCTTGGGGAAGCCAGAGGTTGAAGAGGCCTTGTAGAAAACGATGGGCTCGAGCTCCACGAGCCCGTTGAGGTAGAAAAGCTCAGCAAAAACCGAGGCTAAGGAAATGAATGAGTTGGCGCCGGCAGGATTAATAAACCCTGAAGGAAGACAACTCACGGTGATGAAATGATAGCAAAGATGAATCCGACCCGTTCACCAATTTCCAGTAGTGAAGCGAGGAATACGGGCAGGAATAATTGAAGGTGCGGGTAGCGCAGAAGGAACAGTTGGCGCCCCAGCGGATGAAGTCGCTGACAGCTCCGTTGGCGTGCGCTGTCTCGCACTCGAAGGGAGGCTAGGAAAGCGGGTCAGCAAAGAACCTGCACCAAGCTTTGACAAAAGGAAAGCCAGAACCTTCGTGCGGAGGGCACGCATAAGGCGCTGACAGTGAGGGTTTTCAAAGCGGTCAAGTGGAAGTGGAGGGCGGGGCATCAGAAAAGACATGGTGCAAGTCTGGCGCCAGGTCCCGCCTCGACCTTAAATAACTCGGGCCAGGGTTTTTGATGTGATTTGGCGTAGCGTAATCAGTTACTTCAACAAGGAAGGATTGCCGACGCTTAATAGCCAGAAGGAGGTTGATTGGCGCGAGCCAACTCGAGATTGCGCCTTAGTCATAGCACTTCTTTTGGCGCGAGGTCTCGAGGGGACCCGTTAGTCAATCTCTCGCTTAAAGCGGAAGGAATAAACTCGTAATCCAAGAAATCGGATGGTATTCAAGTCCCCGGTAGGGGAGGAAACGGTACATTTAGGGTGTGCAGTTTGGAAACTACACACCGCGGAGAAGCAACAAGCGGAGATGATTACAATATGTATATAAAAAGATGTCCAAGAAAACGCTGGCGCCAACCTTCGCCGGACCAGGGACTACTCGGAGGCAGTCGGGGAAGCCTGGTGCGGCGAGTCCTTGCTCCTGCTCGTGAACTTGTCCTTGCCCTTGCCTTTGCCCTTGGAGGAGGTAGACGCGCGACGAAGAGAAGGCCCGGCGCCCTCCTCCTAAGAAAAGATGAAGAGATTAAAAATAGGAAATAAAAGAATGAAAGAAAAAAGCGCGCAGAGCTTACCTGTTTAATAAGAACCTTCTTCGGCCTCTTGGTGCGAGGAGTTGGGCTGCGCGAAGGAACGAAGATGGGCGGAGGTTCCTGGGTCGGCTGGGTCTGCGAGCCGGCGCCAGAAGACGAAGCCAAGTTCTCCTGAAAAGAATGGTCAGAAAAACTGAAGCATATATAAAGAAGCGGCTTACCTCGGGCTCGGGCTCGAATTGGAAGAGGCTATCGAAAACCTCATTCTTGACATGAACGGCCTTGAAAGACAGAAGGTTGGCGGGGATGGGACCTTGATGTTCGGGCACAACCTCCTCGAAGCTCGGGCGGAAGTCGAGCCGGTCGTAGTCGATGAGAAACTCGTCCGAAACCAGAGGGGCCTTGTCCAACGAGACGGCAAGGCAGCCGGCGTAGCGGGCCAGGCGTTCATACTGCGCGTTGAAGCCGGGATCCTGGCGCGCAGCATCATTGAGGCTGGTGTTCGCAAAAGTCAGGAGGGCGTGGTGAAGCGCGCGGCGGATGGTGTAGGTGTATTGGCGCCCGGCTTCGTTGGCAAGGTGGACCGCGCCTTGAAGGAGAGTGGCGGCATGCTCAAACTCCTTGTCCATAGCCAGCGCCGCTAGAAAGATAAAAGATATGAAGTCAGTAGGAAGCCTCGAAAGGAAAGAACACCAAGGCAGGCTTACTCTGCAGAGGAAGGGGAAGGCCGTTTGCGATGTTGGT